GCGACAGATCGAAGCAGCGTTCCTCAGGAAACTTCGACGGTTTACTTTTCAGCAGCACATATAATATGTCGGGCTGTCTGAGTAGCTCGTATGGGTAGTCGCACGGAAGCCCTTCATAATTATAACCTACCATCCCCGCATCGGGTACCAGCCGTAAATACCTCAGTAGCGACATCATCCTCCGAATTTGCTCGTCGCCGTCCACCCCATATGGTCGGCATACATTTTTTATCGCATCGTACGACTGGCCCAGAGGACAGCACTTCCGGATCGGCACGGCCGTCCGGTTGTCATCGCACGTGCCACCACCGATTGCATGCACCGTGTGGAACGTCCGATTTTTGTTCTGGCATGACGCGACTACGTCTCCGCCGCCACTTGCGACTGAACTACTGTTGCAACAGACCACAGCAGCGGGGTGGCACGTCAGGGCCACCAGCTCATTGGATGACGTCCGGTCGAAACAGTAGCCCGGCGGTAACTCGGAGGCCGACGAGTACGCTTGCATCAGCATCTCCAAGACCGCGGTGGGCACGTCGACTAGCACCTCCCCGGCGTCGCAAAGTGGCTGCTCGTAATTGTAACCCACCATCATCACCTCTTGCGCCTCCCAAGAACCATACATCAGTTGCAGCATCATCCGCATCATCCTCTGCAGGTGCTCGTCGATGCCCATCCCATCCGGTCGGCATACATTTTTTATCGCATCGTACGACTGGCCCAGAGGACAGCACTTCCGGATCGGCACGGCCGTCCGGTTGTCATCGCACGTGCCACCACCGATTGCATGGACCGTGTGGAACGTCCGATTTTTGTTCTGGCATGACGCGACGACGTCTCCGCCGCCACTTGCGACTGAACTACTGTTGCAACAGACCACAGCAGCACCGTGGCACGTCCTGGCCACCAGCTCATCGGATGGCGTCAGGTCGCAGCAGTAGCCCGGCGTCAACTTGGAGGCCCGCGAATACGCTTTTAGCATCCTAAAAATGTCTTCGGTGCGCACGTTGAATAGCACGTCCCCGGCGTCGCACAGTGGCTGCTCATAATAATTATAGCCCACCATCAACATCACTCTAGAAGGATAGGGACCAAACATCAGATCCACTATCATCCCCATCATCTGATCCAGGTACTTTTTGCCATTCACCCCGGCTCTGATGAGGCATAACTTCCGTTCCATATCGTACGACTGGCCCAGCGGACAGCACTTCCGGATCGGCCAGGCCGTCCGGTTGTCATCGCACGTGCCACCACCTAATGCCTCGATCGTGTGGAACGTCCGATTTTTGTTCTGGCATGACGCGACCACTGTACTACTGTTGCAACAGATCTCGGAGGCCCGCCATTCGAACGCGACAACCAGAAACGCGAATGTGGTGGCGAAATACGAACGGACGATAATATTATTCATCGTGTGCGCACACTGAGCGGCGTCGGCACATTCACTATCGCGACTGCCGGCCGCCGCGGGTTCAGCAATGGAGACAATTCCGACGAGCTGCGCGCCGGCCGACCGTCACGCTCTATAGAATATTTATAAAAATGTTATAGTATACTGGTTTCGTTGCTTTTATATTATATATATTGTGTAGAACTTAACTATGTGTATCATATGAGGTTTACGAATTGTCATATTTAATTATTTGTCCTGGCGGGGGTTAGTTAAGTATCGTAAATAAATTAATCACAACAAAACACTTCGTCAAACTCTTGTTAAAAAGACTAATTTTTTAAAAAAACAGATCTTAACAGTATAAGATGTGATATCAAAAATATGATGAATTTAATTAACTTTTTAATTGAAATTAAATTATTTTTAATAGTTTGTTTTATTGGAAATGTTAAAAAACAGAAAATCGTTTCTCCTGAAAAATCAGTATTTTGACAATTATAGTACGTTTTGGATTTTCCCTCAATTATTGTTATCAATATTTGATTCCCTTGGTCTGAACATTTTTCTTATGTTTATCAAACAAGTTAACAACATCTGAAATACAATATGATGTGAGTACTGTATTACGATATAAATTGTATTACAACCAAGGTTCAGGCCTTCAAAAATTTGCAATTTTCAATATCTTTTTGTAAAAATATCTATTTTCAAGATAAATAGTCTGAAAAAAAAAGTCAAAAGTATTTGTTTTATAATTTTTATTTATTTATAAATTAAATTTGTATTATTGTTATGTGTATAAAATTTTAAAATTTTAAAATTGAAATAATTTTTACCAATACAATAAGTTTATCGGTACCTTCATCAAATTAATTTATTATTGTTATTATTAATATTTATTAGTTACTATCTGATCCCGTGTACTTCGTTACCCGTTAAATGTACCAAATCTATAGGACTCAAACTTTATTCAATTCGTTATTTAATATTCAGTGTATGGTGTTCAAAATGTATTTTAACTTTTCCGTTGCCCTGAATAATAATAATAATTCTACTTCACAGCAGTATATATCAGGTAGGCAAATCTACCTGTGGTAAATCGCTTACCCCTTGATGTTTGTACTTAAATGTATATGATTCCACTCTAAAGTATCAATGTTATACCAAGTTTGTTGTATTCCACCTATTGTGGATCAATATAATCAGTTAATACAAAATTCTAACAGTACTAATATCAGATGAATCAAAACAAACCAAATTTAACCATTTTTAAATTTGCCTGTCATCTTTTCAGAGGTCTAATCTACACACAAACATTCATTTATTTACATATATATTGACAAAAAACAAAATACAAATCAACAAACATGCCCGATTAACCAATAGCACCCAATATAAATTATAATACACTGTTGTGCCACTGTTGTATTTTTCTCATCCAGATTTCCTCCTCTTCCAGTTGATTTTCTAAAATTTTCTTTCGTATAAATCGTCTCCTAGCAATAGACATCTTAAATGATTTAGCGGCCTCCTCGAGTAAAAAAAAAAATAATACTACAATATACAAATCAACAAACATGCTGATTACCATTGCAACCAATATACTACACTATTATTTTAATATGAACTGATTTTTTATTATTAATTAATTTTTTCTGAACGGTCACACTCAGCTAGATATTATAATATATTTGAAGATATTATGTGAAAAAAAGTACTTATATATAACATTTATGTGGAATATAGTTTTAAATTATCTCATCAATACTTTTATAACACATGTTTACTGACTTTATCAAAAATTAAGTCAATGTTATGAGTTATAAGTATTTAAAGTTTAGACGAGCGGTGAAGTGGACAACTTCGCGGGTGTAACCCCAACCATCCACTCCGCTCGTCTCTTTAATACTTATAACTCATAAACTACTCGCCCCACATTCAATTTTCATGTATCAAAATACTAAGAAAAATATTCTGCTTTGGAATATAAAATTAAAAACCTATGTTGTTATTCAAAAAAGTAAAAAACTTAAAAAATTATAAAGATAAAAAATATTTAAAAATATAATTTTTTAATAAAAACGTTGTTTTATAAGCGACTTGAAACTATGTAAAAAATATTTTCAAAAAAATTTACACTTTTTGAAATAATGAGTGTTGTTTGATAAAGGAATCACCCAGTATACACGATTACCAAAGGTGGGTAAGTTAATGAAAATAATTAACTCAAGTTATGTTAAGTTAAGAGGACACAAGATCGATAAGTTAAAAGTTAGCAGTTAACAAATTATAAATTTAACTCGATAAGTTAAAATTTAATATAGAAAAAAATATTAACTTAACTCAGTTTAAAAAAAGTTAATCCATTTTTTTTTTATAATTAATATGTAAATCACATAAAGAGTGAATGTGTCTTTCTAGTTTCTAATTTATAAATTATAAAAAAAAATTTTATTGAACTTTTATCATAATGTACACTGTATTCCATTTTACTTTTCTATTATTTACTAATTTAAACCATACTCATCTCAAATTAATAATTTAACAAATATATTTTTTTATTTCGTTTAGAAATTGAATGTCATAATACATGAAGATGAGTCATGAACATGACGTTCATATATATTATAAGTTATATATAACATTAAAACATAACAATTGGCAATTTGTAATTTAAAATTATTAATTTTATTAAAAACATTTAGGTATAATTACAACTCACATAATATATAATTTACAACTCAATAAAATATATTAATATACAAAAAATTATGTTATCAAGAAAAAGAACAGAAATGTTTGTGTTTTTGTATTGGATTATTTTTATTTTATACTGATATAGTAATATTTACGTATAAACGAACAATTTCAAAATGTTTTAACTTAATGGATTTTTTTAAAATCAACTGAGAAAAGCTAAGTTATTTCAATTCTAAATTAAACTATTTAAGTTCATAAGTTAATTAGAAAATAAACTAACTAGTTAAGTTAAAAAGTTAAAAAAAATTAACTTTTTAACTGAACTTTAACTTTTCAACTAGTTAATGCCCACCTTTGACGAATACAATATATAGCCCATAAAATAGGTTAGGTAAATATACAAATAATAAATAAAATTATTTAAAATAGTATAAAATGATAGAAAAAAATGTATATGCTTGGAATATATACCTAATATTGTATTTTGTGATGAATAATAATAATAACTAACAAAATAATATGAATAAAATAGTCAATCTTATATATAAAAATGAATCGCAAAATGTGTTGGTAAGCGCATAACTCAACAACGCCTGGACCGATTTGGCTGAAATTTTTTTTATATGTTCTGAATTGCCAGGAAAAGGTTTTTATGAACGAACATTTTTAAAAAGTCTACCGAATAAGTAGAAAAAGTGCAAAAAATATTTATTGATGTCTGTGATTTGAACCCGATACCGTTAAATATAAAAAATAAATTAAAACTATAATATTTTTTTGTTGCCATGGAAATGTTATAGACAATATTTATTCAATTTAATTGTTTGAATAAAATATAAAAAAAAATTACTGGGAAGACCTTAAAAAAATTTGTATTAAAAAAACATAATAATTTAATTTTGATATGCCTCCTATACGACGAAGCAATTTAGGTAGAATAACCCGAAATGCTACCAACCAAGCTAATTACCGATCTAACCAAAGTCCACAAGAACGTGACGACAGAAATGAACGTGAAAGAATTCGGATATCACAAACGCATGAAGTGCGAACGCGAAATTCAACTAATAATCGCGCAAACTTGAATCGAGCTGCTTTTAGTTACGATGTGTCAATTGACTACAGTAACTACCCGTGTGTTGTTATTGGTTCTATGAACTCAGTTTGATCATATTGTAAGGCTTTGAAATACAAAAACGAGGCCAATGGTTTGTGTTGCGCAAATGGTAAAGTGAAATTGATACCATTGGATCCACCACCAGAGCCGTTGTACTCATTGGTTTCAGGAATAGGAACAGATTCTATACACTTTTTGACAAATATCCAACAATATAACAATTGCTTTCAAATGACTTCATTTGGGGGAACAAATGTAGTTCGTGAAAGTTTTATGCCAACTTTCAAGGTATGTAATATGTATTATAGCAGTTAATCATAATTATTTGTTGATCATTTTTATATTATAGATTCAGTTTTAGTGACACCTTAATTATTTTGAAACACAATATAATTATTTGATGATTTAAATATTTATCGGTTTTAAATTTTTTATTCGATTCGTCTCGAAATTTACATTAAATTGTATTTATTCAATTTTGTTACAACTAAATTTTACACATTGAGGTACATAATCATATTAAATATCATTTTGTCATTCAAATTAGGAGACAGATATAATTTTTAAGAACAAATATTATTTAAGTTTGAACACTGACAATCCATAAATTTATATAACATAGTTGCTTATTTATTTTATTTTATTTTATAGTGTTTGGTACAAACATAATATTTTTTTTAATTTACAGATGCAAGGACAAATATTTGTTTTTTTTTCTATGCGCCAGGTGATACAACAACAATAGGTTGCACTACAATGAATATATAACTGATTTTTGTTAATAATTATAATTGAAATGATTAACAAAAAAGGAATTCCTTACTTATAAATGATTATATATGTTTTATTTAATTATTTTTTATTCACAACGCACTATCACCAGAGTGACGGTTCTGTTCAGGAGAATTTTTTGCGTCGAATATAACATGTGTAGGAACAAAAAAATTGCTAAATTAAAAATCTACTGGACAGGACGAGTCAGGTGACGGGGAGGTGATACACAAATATGTAATTATATTTGTTATTTTTATTCATTGAAGAGGTACGATTTTTAACGAATAAATTTTGAACACCATACACCGAATATTAAATAACGAATTGAACAGAGTTTGAGTCATAAAGGGTTGGCATACATTTAACGGGAAACGAAGTGCACGGGATCAGCTAGTAAAATAATAAATATTATAATTATGTGACATTCAATGTTATAATTTCTTATCAAAAAATAGTAAATAAATTAGATATAATATTATGTACCTACCTACTGTGTTTTGTTATAATAATTACTATTTATAATTATTATCTGTATATTCACATCCGTTTCGCGAGTTTTGTGAGATTATATTGTGATTATAATATAAGATTATTAAACGTCTACCGTGTCAATAGAAAACCGACCGACGCACACAGCTACGATAAAAAAAACAGGCTCGCACGTCGTCGTGGACGCTCGTTGCTCTTTTACGACTGTTTCTAAATGTCTGACGGTTACGTCGTCAGGGGCGTGCCGAGGAGGTGATTTTGGGGGTTCAAACCACCCCCAAAATGACTGGCTTATTTTTTCAACTTCATGATTTTTACAAAATAAAAAATAACATATATTATATTATATTTTAGATTCTGAGTGGAACGATGAATGTATTGATTTTACAACGATGTGTGTTTTTATATTTTTATATTTTTTTTTTATTTTTGTGTCTGTGTACACGATAAGTAGTCGAAATAGTGCTTCGATTTTCGACTTCAGTATCTTGTTCGATTGGAAAGTGAATATCGTTGGTGCATTGGGGAGGTCAAATTTTAAAATTCCCAGTACTTTTCAAAAGCGCCAAGAAAAACAAAAGAAAAATTAAGGAAAAACGGGAATTTTTACGCAAAATCGATTTTTCAGAAAATTGAATTTGGTTTTTGGTGTACTTTAATTCTAATACAATCTAGTCCAAATCTAATACAATTATTATAATAAAATAATAATTTTTTTGTCCACGTTTTATTTAATTTTACATTATACAATGCGGTTTTTGCATTGTTCTTACTTTTCTTGTTTACGATATAACAACCACGAAGCACAAGAGAACATAATATGGATAGACATTCTTCTTTCATTTTTAGGGTTCCGTAGCAAAAAACGGAACTTACAGAACCCTTATAGATTCGTCATGTCTGTTGTCTGTCCGTCCGGGTGTCACATCCACTTTTTTTCCGAAACTATAAGAACTATACTGTTGAAACTTGGTAAGTAAATGTATTCTGTGAATTGCATTAAGATTTTCACACAAAAATAGAAAAAAATAAATATATTTTGGAAGTTCCCCATACTTAGAACTGAACTTCAAAAACATTTTTTTCATCCAAGTCATACGTGTGGGGTATCTATGGATAGGTCTTAAAAAATGATATCGAGGTTTCTCATAACATTTTCTTCTAAACTGAATAGTTTGCTCGAGAGGCACTTCTAAAGTGGTAAAATGTGTCCCCCCCCCTATAACTTCTAAAACAAGAGAATGATAAAACTAAAAAATAATATATGATGTACATTACCATGTAAACTTCCGCCCAAAATTGGTTTGAACGAGATCTAGTAAGTTGTTTTTTTTTTAATAAGTAAATAAGTAAATAACAATTATAATTCGCGCGGGGCTTGGCTTGATCGGTACAGCGGAGAGCCTGGGGGGAAAGTTCACGACTGCGCTTAAACGAGCGGGTAATATTATTATAATATTAGATAAGACTTCTGCTAGACCTGGTGGAGGGGCCAAAGTTCGTGCCGGCCGAACGAAACGACTTATTATTTATGTTACTTGCTGCTACGGAACCATTCATGTTCGAGTCCTACTGGATACATAGGTATAGGCTATTATTTTTGTATTGACTATACAATATAGTGCGATATACTAGGTAAACAGTCTATCGCAGTCTATTGGAATGAGTGCACCCAGTACCAATACAGAAAACTTTTTATTAGATTTCAGATAAATGGCATCCGATAATATTTATTATCATAATATAATCCTGAAGGTGTAATAATGGTGGTTGTATATTTGTATATTATGCTGTTATTCTACTTATTATCGCAAAATATATGCGTACCTATAAGAATATATTATAATGGTTATTTTCTATTTGTATCAACATAACGTTCTTAAGCCAGTACCTATTCAGGTCTCTAGACGGTAAAAACTATGACCCATTTATACCAAACGACAAATTATCATCGTTTTCATTGTTCATAATATTTCTCCATTTTTAATTTGAAACAGTTGCGTCAATTAGGGGAAAGCATGTGGGCCTTTGCCCCTGTCTGATTTTAAAAACAGCCTAATGGGCCGGTGCCCAGTGGTTTTCGAATAACCATTATTAACTATATTATATAAGCGCAGAAACATGCCTGTATGTAATATGTATGGGAAAATATTATATTGTGTAGGTACTGAGTATTTATTGTCACACTGACTGTAATTGTTAATTACTAATTAATAGTTAAAATAAATATTTTATTCAAGCTGAACCCGTGCACTTCGTTGCCCCTTAAATGTACCAACTCTATATATATGACTCAAACGTTGTTCAATTCGTTATTTAATATTCGTTGTATTAATCTTAACTTTTCCGTTTCCCGGAATAAAAATTCTGATTCGCAGCAGTGTATTATCAGGTAGGCAATCTACCTGCGGTAGATCGCGGACCCCTAGTTTGTACGTAAGTGTATGATTTAACCCTAAAGTATCAAAGTTATATCAAGTTTGTCATATATTGACAAAAAATAACAATCAACAAAGATGCCCGTAACCAATAGCAAGCAATACACAATAAACTATTATTATTTTAATTCTAAACTTAATTTTTTGTTATTATTATTATTATTATTATTTGTTATTTAGTGTGCACCTTAAGAGTCCATAACTCCAGAACCACTTATCGTGCAGCATACAAACTTCACAAAAACCATCTATATATAAATCTTAATATGCCCTGAAATTTTTATTAAAATTACGTGATCGTCGGCCAATATTTTGTCGTTTTGGTCGTGGCATTTTTTAACGCCTAAATCCATACAATTGAAATTGAATAAAAATCAATCTCGTTTAATCTCAAACCAATTAATATTTATCTAGAAAATAGAATTGTTGTTGTCATGTCAACAGACGTTTTTTCATTTTTCATACATTTTGTTGTTGTTTTTGGTCATGTCGCCAGGTGTGCACTTATGAGGCCATAATTCCGGAACCATTTATCGCACAGCGTACAAACTTCACAGAAACCATCTACATATCAATCTTAATATGCCCTGAAATTTTTATCGAAATCTGAGATATGGATCTTGAGCTATAAGATTTATTCAAAATGTACACTTATTTTTATATATATAGATTTATAGCCACACGTGCCTGAAAGTTAGTATTTATGTATGTGTTTTATAAAGGAAAAATAACATAATATAATAGTAAAATGTGCTTGTGAGTGGAATTTGGGAGGGTTTAAATATTTGCCCACTCTATTAAAAACTGAAATTACGTCACTGCTTTGAAAAGTACATAGTTACAATAGGTATAGAATTAATAATATTATATTTTACAATATTGTGTAAATAATACATTATTGGTTATAAATTGTAATATTTCAATATTTCAACAACTCTTAAGCAAATAAACTAGTATATCTAATATTCGTTAAATTTTTTTTTTTATATAATATAATTGTCTCGAGAAGGATTTAGTGTCATTGTTTAATTTCAATATCATTGGTTGATCCTTCATCCGTATCAATGTGATTATTCCACTAACCAATAACACGAGTACAAACAAACAAAAAATTAGAAACGAAGTATAATATACATACTTCAATAGACAAAATACGATAAGATTTATAACAAATACAAAATACAATTGATAGATATATTTGTATATTATATAAATATAAGGAACTAATGATTAAATTAGTGATTCTCGACCCTAGTTCCTCTGCGCACTAGTCTTGGTCAAAATATATTTTTATAGAAAATGTGCAAGGACAATACAAATATTAAGAATCAGTGGATAGGTTGGATACTT